CAGATCAGCCACACCACGGCTGAGCCCTATACATTGAGCATCATTGGCTGCAGTCCCATTTTGCTACATGCAGGAGCTTCATCTCCAGCAGCAGGAGCACAGCGATGGTTGTTTACTCTGCTATTGTCTCACACTGTTTGCACAGTGCCGGCAAGTTAATGAGTCACTACCAACTTAGGAGGAGCAGGTGGGTTTAGTAGCATGCCGATGACTCTCAGAGCCTTTGGAAAGTCACTGCCCCAGTGCAAGGGGAACATGGGGTTTTCAGAGTGGCTGCCTGTGATGGAATCAGATGTTTGCTGAATGAGTTTTCATTACCTGATGCTTTGTACTTCAGTTCCCATCAGCCCCAGCCTGTACAGCTACTGGTCAGGAATACTAGGGAGAGGAGCTCTCAAAGAAAATTGTAGTCCAATTCCCAGCAGAGTACTGTAGTGGTTAGACTTGGGAGATCCAGGTTCAAATCTCCCCTTGGCCATGAAGCTTATTGGGTGGCTTTGAGCCAGCCACTCAGCCTGACCTACCTCACATTGTTTGTCTGAGGACCAAATGGAGAGGTGAGGAATCATGCAAGTGGACAGGCTGCAACGAGGAAAAAGGTGGGATATACATGATGAATATATATATATACTCACGTCCGGAGGTGGGGAAGGCTGGTGCACAGCCTTACTTCAACATGCACTGAATCCAACAGGATACAATATTCAGGGCAGTAGACGGCATGAACTGCATAGGTTGTTCTAGGCACGTTACAAAGCAGGATTTTCTTCATGTTGGTGAGCTACACCCTGCCCTGTAGCATCCCTGTATAGCTTTCTCCAGCACGACAATGCCAAGGGCTTTCCCTGAGTATTGGCTGAAGATGTCTTGGCCTTGATATTGCTCCTGCCAGTTGTAGACTCTTCCATCATTTCATGTTACACTGACTTGAAATGTGTTTATTGAATGAGTTGCGTTGCTGCATTCACTTACCTTCTTTGACCTTTATTTCCCTTTGAATGCTGTTTCACAGAAAAGTAACTGATAAAGGAATCATCCTCATCATCACAGGAATCCATGTGTGGTGTTTCAAGCCATATTCATTCCACAAAGCTCAGCCATATTCATTCCACAAAGCCCCATGAACCTTGGAAGACCCACTTGAGTGGAATTCTGTGAGGCAGACTGAGCTGCAGCTCTTCTGTGCATTTATTTAATACTTTTGCAGCCCAATAAATTATAAGCCAATGATTTCCAATAATTACCAGGACTTGAAAAAGACTAATTAAATAAAGAAAAACTAATTTTGCTTTCAGATGCTCTCTGGAACAGAGGCGGGACAACTGTATGCATGTCTAATCTACCTGTTATTAGTCTTAAATTCAGTTATAAATTCTCATCAACTATCTACTAAAACAGTACTGAGAAATGAAAAAGCATTATATTTGAAACCAATTTGACAACCGGTGGGAAAAGATAAGGAGATAACTTACAGTAAACTTTGGGGGCTCATATTTTTTCAACAAGACATAACTGGAACGTTCTTTTCCAGATAACATGTGGCTTTGTTAGAAATGGCACAAGAGGTAAACACAACTGAGACAGAATTTTTAAAAATGGTTTTTTCATCTAGGATCAACCTTGTTTTGTGTTCTAAGTAAAAATGAATTATGGTTGCTTATAGCACCCCGTCTATGGAATACGCTCTGCAGAGAGGTTCGCCTGGTGCCGATGCTTTATTCTTTTTGGTGTCAGGTGAAACCCTTTTTATTTTCCCATTATTTTAATGTTTAGTTAATTTTAACTGGATTTTATCTTGACTTACTGGATGCTGGTTTTGTTACTTTGTTTGTTCCTTGTTGTAAGCCATTCCGAGATGTCAGTAGCTGGAGTGGGTACAAAAGTTTTAAATAAAATAAAATAAATAAAATAAATATTTGTAGCACAGGGATAACATAAGATTCATTTTGACCTACTAATACATCCATCTCCTTTGTTCAACTCCTCTTTCTTTCACCCAGCAATATGGTCCAATGGGATTGTGACTCATAAGTAGTGTTAGAACGTGATAAATTGTTTGTTCTGCACACCAAATTAGATCTTGCTAAAATCCAGTGGATCACCCAACAGCTTGACTGCATGTTGCTAAGGGGCCAAAAGACGGATAATGTTGCATGCATGTTCAGTCTTGGCAATCTGGTTTGTTTCTCAGCCTGTACTAGCAGCAACCAAATAGGTAGAATGGTAGTGGAGAAAGAGAGAAGATCATGGCATCATAGCAAGAGTGAATTCTACTTGATTAAAGGAGGGAAGGAGGACCTAGAGATGTCACTGCCATTTTTGGCCCAGAGGCAAAATCAATGGGAAGTCTTCTATAAAGTCACATGTGAAGCTTTCTTCAGTGAGATTGGCAGAACCTGGACCTCCAAAGCCCCAATCCCTGCCTGGCATAATCTGGCCCTGTCCGTTTTACTTTTGTCCATGTCTCTTCCTTCCTGGAGAAAAGAACTTGGGTGGCACATGGAGGAGCAATTTCTCCAAGTGCCAGTTAAGTTGCAAGGTTTACACTGCTACAGTAATGCACACTCACAAAACTGAATTCCTGCTATATCCAGTCAGTGTAGATAAAGAGCTGCAAGAATTCCTCCAGGGGACAGTGCTTAGAAAATGGCCACAATGGCTGGATGGAGAACTTCTGGGGGCTGGATTGAATGCACAGACAAGAGGTTCCCAATCCTGCTTTAAGAGTCGAGTTTAAAGGCAGTGTTAAGCTTTAATATCCATGCATGTGTGTTTGCAAACAAAATCCTGCTGAGGTACAATGGTCAGTTTTCTATAATCTAAGAGGAGAGGTAGCAGAAAAGTAACGCTATTTCTGCCCAAGCTACCAAAAGCATCCCACTGCAGCTAACTTCATCAACATTATTTGTCCAGAGAATATATCTGGTTATTCTCAGATATATAAAGTAATGACAACAAATGTTCATAAAATGCCATTTTGCCCATAACTTTGAACATATTCAAGGACAGGCCTTTGAACTTCACCGTGAATCTTTCTCCTACCTCCTCTGAAATCTGAAATAGTGTCCCTGCTGAATTACAGCCAAATGTCATTTTGAACTCACATTCTAATCTTAAAATCAGTTTGGTGTTATGGTACCACTGACAGCAGTAAAACTATGTTTGGGGCATCAGTGAAATGATGTTTGAAGCCAAAGTGAAGCTGTGATTAGTACCGGCTATTAACCTGAGTCACAAAACAGAACTGTAAATTGTTTTATTTTAGCTGTTAAAGAAATATTCCACTGTAAAGTAAACTATATTATGACCAAAAACTGTTTTTTTGGGTGTGTCCATCCATTTTCTAAAATCAATGCTTAGCGGACATGGCTTGTTTACATTTCATATGGATACAGGAGATAGATGTTTGGCATCTGGAAATGACCCTCAGGGAAGTCCATCTTGTCCTCTCCCTTTTGACATTTCACTGCTTCACAAACACCTTTCTTTTCAGAAACACCTTTGGCTTGTGACATACAAGCCGGTAGTTTGTAGTGACACTGGTGGTATTTTTCTTGATATGGGTTTTATACAGCTCATATAAGGCAGTAATTTATGTTGGTGCTGTTCTGTCTTTCGCTGCTATTTTGTAGAGTGTACTTTATCTCATTGTTTTATACGGTCTAGTTTTGAAGCTGAATTTCAACGTCTTTGTTGCTTTTACTGTAAATGTTAATTGCCTTGGATTTCTTTTGGAAAATGCAGATTATCTACTTTTGAAATGAGTAATAATTCCCTCTATTTCCAATATGGGATCAGTGATGTTCTATATTTGACCAGAATGCCACCAGAAGAGAAATATCAAAAGGCTCAGGAGCAAATAAGCCAAGCCAAGAGGAAGTCCATGAATGCTTGCAGATCACTCCCCATCAGGAGTGGCTGCAGGTCATGGAAAAGAAGTGCTGTGAGCAGGGATGCTATGCACCCTTCCCAGTGGCCTATCTTCTCCACTCAGTCTGGCTGGCATGAAGGAAAGGGGCACAGCTTATGCAGGGTGTGGGGCTTAATTCCTCTGATTTCCAGGAACTCGAGCTCTGGGCTGCTACAAAGTGAACAGGTGCTCAGAGAACTGAGCTCAGGGAATCTGGTGGATTCCCACCTGCAGATGGATTCCTCACACATCCCTAGCAGTACCCTATTTATCAGTCAGCACTTATCCAAGACAGAGAATTGTATGTGGTGGCCCTTTCTGGGCCTGTGGACATATTTGTGAATCTTAGAAGCTGTGCAGGCACCAGCACAAAATGTCTCCCGTAGAGGATGTGGCTAGTCAATGGCTCCAAGGGAGCCTGGTGAGTCAAAAGGTAGCTAAAGAGGTGAGGGTGGAGAAAATAAGGAGGCCAAGGCAGTGGGGTAGAGGGGAGAAGAAATCCCAAGGCAGTAGGGGAGAGGGGAGAGAATGAGCAATGCTATAGAAAGGGAATGGGAGACGTGGTATGAGAAAATGTGGAGGAAATATGAGGGAAGAGGCTGGGGAGGGAGGTGAAAACAGCAAGACGGGAGTGAAGGGCAGAGAAAGAGCCAGGCTGAAGGCTGAAAAGGGGGACAAAGAAGACTGTCCTAACATTTTCCAGAGTTTCTTTTTTTTTTAAGTAAAGTATGGAGGTGGCAGGGAATGGAGAGTGCCACTAGGTGCATGGGCACTGCATTGGATGAATACTATGGTCACACAATGCAGCTTTGCCATTGAACATTTAGCATGGGCTCTATCTGGGCCAGTGATTCTGTGGAAAGGACACTTCTGATCTTCCCCCACACCACTTCCTGTGATTGCAGAAGATACAAAATGGATAAATGGAAAAGAATCTCCAAATATGCTTCTGCAATGTTTTGTGGGCATTGAAATTCAAAATTTAGACTTACTTTGGGTTATAAAACCTCACCCAACAGTTCCAAACAGGAATCTCTGGGCAGTGTACCCAGGTATCAGACTAATTTTTGCTATTTTGCTCTGTTCGCAGGTTGATGACCAAATGAAGCTCCTTCAGAACTGCTGGAGTGAACTCTTAATTCTGGATCATATTTATCGGCAGGTGGTTCATGGGAAGGAGGGCTCCATTCTTCTAGTCACCGGGCAACAAGTGAGTTTGGAGGCTAAGCATATTGATTTTGTTATTAACCCTTTTTCCAAACAGTAGGGTTTTAAACTGGCCAGAAGTGCTTCTGCATTACAGTGGAAGCATTTCCATTGAACTGCGGCTATGATGCGACACAAGCAAAATGACACAGGAAACATTTTCCTGGTCCATTGACAATAGCTACACACAAGGCCAAATACAACATAAGCACTTTTAGAGAAAATATTCATTTCCCTCTGTAAGAAAGATAATAGTAGGCCACTGTGATATTTGAAGCATAATGTAATATAGAAGAGTCTATTATAATACAAGGGTTCTTCAAAAAGATTCTGCACTTTTTAAACTCTATTTATTAAGAGTTTCAAAAACAAATTACATCACTTTTCTACATAGCCATCTTCCTTTGCGACACATTTTTCCCAGCATCCTACCAACTTTTTAATTCCATCAGCAAAAAATATATATAAAATATATTTATAAAATATAAAAGTGCTGAAACTTTTTGAAAACCCCTTGTATATAGTATAGTATGGCAGTCCAGCAGAAAACAAAACAAAAATGTAATAAATAAATAAAATGAGTAAGTGACAAATCATAAGTCGGCCCAATCTTTAGACCATTTTTCCTTCTTCGTTTGAGGGTAGAGTTAGCATAGTAGTACGTGAACTAGATCCTGGAGTGGCATGCAGGGAAACACTCAAAACAATGAATTCTGACATTTGCAGAACTAAATATTGCTCCGCAGCCCTTCAAAGCATGGCTTCATTCCATAACTTTTAAACTAGGATTGATTGTGTTTTTGTCAATTCTATGCAACCGCTCTGCCAGCATAGAATTTGAAACTGATTATATAATTCAGCATCCTTGAACTCAAGTTTCTAGACCTTAAGATTGTGAAGGCAGGTTTGAAAGTCTCAGTACTGAGAAACATCTCAGGAACTAGAAGTGAAACTGAGCAGAATTTTCAGTTGCCGGGACAAGGCTGCCACTGCCACAGATATTTATTTATTTTATTTATTTAGAAAATAGAAAAAGATAGCTTTTTTTGCTGTTCCTCGTAATTGTAAAAAGCAGGACAAATTCTACAAGGTCAGCATGTGTTGCAAATGCAGTCCACAAACACAGTGTATGCTGATAGCAGAATCCATATGTTAGCAAAACAAAAAACAAAAAATCTTCATTTAATTTCTCTGAATTGGTGCATGCAGAGGGTAGCATCCAATGCAAAAGTGCAAATTGAATTAAATTGTGCTAGTGTCCATGGCCCTTGGAGCAAGACTAACATGCTTGTTGCCACAACAAGCTTTTAAGAGAAGCCCTTCATGGCATCAAGTGGAACATTAGACCCACTGTGACATATGTTACCCCAGATGCTGCCCAAGGCGAACGCAACCTGCTGATACTTTCCAGCAGTACCCTGTACCTGAAATACAAGACAGAGTTTTCTGGTTTGGGCTATTTTTCCAAAATGGCAGTAGGAGGAAAGAGAGGCAGACTGAACAAGGAAATCCGAAATTGCTTTAAAAGTCAAATATACAAAGCACGCATTCTGCCCAGATGCACAAAAACCTCTGCAAAATGACTGCCGCCACCTGCTCAAGAGCAAGCTTGCGATCCTGCATAGCCTGCCACCCGTTTGATGGGTCAATTCCAGCGAGCATCCCCTGCAACATGGCCGTGTGCATTTATAATCTCTAAGAGCTACGCAGAGTAAATGAGCACGACAAGGCAAATTAAATCAAAACCGTGCCCTTTGATGATATGTTTCAGCTCCAATAGAAAAATATGTACAGTGTCATGGGAAGGCAAAATGCATTTTGTGCATTTTATTTCTGATTCAAAGAGAAACCAAATGATGGTCCACTGGCATTTAAGTAGGTGAAACCTAAACTGCCTCCATTTATATACATATGAGGAAACAGTTGCTTGTTTGGACTGCAAGCTACATTATTCGATTGCTATTCAGAATTTGCACAGGGAGCTTTAGCCTTAATTTAAACCATGTAGATCATGCCTTTCTGTTTATAAGGATTGCTCTGCATCAGGCACAAAGTTGTACATTGTATGTGAGGCAGGTGAATAAACTCTCTGATCGCATCTGCATTAACCATAGGCTTCATTCTGTCAGAGAGAAGCTGTTTTAACTCCCATTGATTTCAGTGAGCACTGCATTGCATTATACTCCCAGGAAATGCATCAAACCTGGGATGAATTTTCCAGAAGCTAAGAGCTGCTCTGTATTGCTCCATGCCAGATAATTTCTGAACTCCACATGCCACCTGGATAGCCTTTAAATAAATGAGCATGAGTTGGAAAGGCAAAGCAGAGCATTTAATCACATTTGGAAAATAACAGGCTCAAGTGCAATGGCTGCAAATCATGAGATGCCTGCAGGAATTTCATTTTAGTCTCAGACTAAATCAAAATCATGCCTAACCGGGAACCTTTCTGCCATCCCACTTCTTCGTCACCCCAACTTCACATGTGTGTCTGACGATTTTCCCCACTGAAACCTTGAATGCTGTACAGATTTCTTTGTCTTTTTGGCCACCACAGAAACTCTTCCTTGAACTTACAATTCCATAAATACAAGAGGAAATGGGATGGGCAAGGAAAAGGAAGTAAACAGATTTCGTAACAATTTGTACATTTAAAAAGATGATCTGATCATTCAGCATTTCCTTCAAGTGAAATATCCCATTATTCATTTCTTTCGTTAAATGCTCTCCATCAGGCAGAGTTCATTACAAATTAAAAATGCCCAAGCAAAGGACGTTTTTCAACCAAACTTCAAAACAAAATGAGGAACAGATTCTTGATCATAAGCACAATATTGTGACAGCCCCCATCTGAATGCACCTTGTATTCCATATATGTCAAAATAAATTTAGATTTCCTTAGGTATAATAATGGTGCCTTTACCATGATGAAGATGATCTGCTATTGAGGATACTGAGGAAAAATGGCAGGGACAATGCATGTCAAGTGGAACATTCATTTGTTACTTTTCTGCCCCATTCCATTCCCTGTCAAAAGCAATGCAAAAGTCCAGATTAGCCAGTCATTTCCTGTCCTTTCCCCCAGGCAAATGCTTGTAGAAACCTGAGGATAACATGCTGGTGTTTTTAAAAATCCAGTATACCCCCAGCATCCTGACCTAGCTTCTCTGTACCATAGCAACCTACTCGTCATGTTTAAGCCACCCTCCAGGTAGAGGCCAGAATTCTGCAGCTTTACATCCATCCAGAAGGAATGGATTGGAAATCTCTTCCAATTGCACCTTTACTTAAACTTAGTTTGCATAACACAACACTCCATTATGACATCCAGCCATGGTGGGTTGCTGTGATGTCCAAACCTAGACAGCAAGCCAGCCTGAGAACCCATGAGCTATCTTACCCACCATGAGTTATTGTATCATGTGAACCTGGGTGACCACTCCCAATGTGGATAAGGGAAGTGGTGAATAATGTGCTCGGCAAGAGTAGCAAAGCCACTTTTGCCTTTGCACAGCAGGTGACAGGCTCCCCCTGGAGTTGCTCATCCCCTTCACAACTGCCTCATCGTTCATCAGCATCTTACCCTTTCCAAGACAATAGCAATGGAAAGGATGAGAAGTCAGAGTTGTCCCTGCCTGCTTGCTCACTGGCTCTCTTCCTGTGAAGAAAGTAGGTGGTCCCAGTGACCCAAAAAAAGATGAGGATATGTAAGAGCTGGTGACAATGGCAATGAGAAGATTGATTCATTGAGAGAAGAGATTCATAAAGGGTGCCTTATCAAAGGGCCCTCCAAACCCCAGAAGCTGTATCGCATAGCATGAGTGTCTGTCTGTCTGTCTGTCTGTCTATATATCTACCTACCTACCTAGCTAAATATTTATATACCGCCCCATTCTCATAGACTCAGGGTGGTTTGCAAGAAATCAAAACCAGCAGTGAGTATTATTGACTAAGACAGCATATTAAATAAAACTAAAAAATGAAACCTATTTTGGGAAGGCCTATCAGAAGAGATCTGTTTTTAACCCCCTTTGGAAGGTGGGAATTTGGGAAATCAGTTGCATCTCTTCCAGCAGATTATTCCACAGCTTAGGGACAAATAGTGAAAACGTCCTCTGGGTAGCTGACATTAAGCTTATAGGAGCAGACTTCAGGAGATTATTCCCAGAGGAACTTCACTGGTGAGGCGGAATGTATTGGTGCTCCTGAAGGTATTTTGGACCCAAGCCATCAAAGGCTTTAAAGGCAATTACCAACACCTTGTATTGTATTGGGAAATCTATTGGCATCCAGTCCAAAGACATTACAATAGGTGATATGTGGTCTCCCCTTGATGTCCCAGAGTCCAGTCGTATTTTGTACTAGTTGCAGTCTCCAGAGTAGGGACAAGGGTAGACCTATGTAGAGTGCATGGCAGAAACTGAGCCTAGAAGTTACCAATGTGTGCACTGCTATTTTCATGCCATTCTCTTCCAGGTAGGGATGTAGTGGGCATATCAGCCAAGTAGACACCCTTGACCATGGCTTCTGTGTAGCTGACATATGAAGGACCGGGTCAAGTAGCACCCCCAAATAGTGAACAGCCTTTCAGGAGGAGTGTGACCCCATCTAGAACTGGTTGGCACACCTCTAATCCTGGATTCAGACCCTAAACAGCAAGCACCTCTGTCTTGTTTGGATTCAACTTCAATTTGTTGCTTCTCATCCAGCCCATTACCAGCTTCAGGCAGTCATTCAGAGGAGAGAGGCTGTCTCTTGAAGAAGCAGCAGATGATGGTAAGGAGAAGTAGATCTGGGTGTCATGCCGATAGCATCCAGCGCCTCTCCTCCAGATGATCTCACCCAAAGGCTTCATGTAGAGGTTAAACAGATTAGGGGACTGAATGGAGCTCTGTTTCTGCCAAAGGGGTGGAAGAACCTTCAAATTAGGTATATTTTGAGAGCCTGGGGACTCTTGCCTTTACCTTTAGGTGTTGGGAGATGGAGGGGAAGGATGCCACAGCA